CATGTTATGCTACATTTAGCACTAGTAAGCTACCAACTAATAGAGCAGTATTGCAAGATAAAGAGAAATATGGGGAAGGACTACCAGACACCCTAACAGGATATTGCTAAGAAGATCTTTAATAAAATGTTACCTATTTGGCTGTCAGCTCACATTCCAATGTAAAAGTCCAACCACTGCGTTGAAAAGATCCTTAAAGTCATAAACACATACTGCCTAGTCAATACAGAAAGAATAAAAAACTTCAGCAAGCCTGACTTCCAACACTACCTTAATTCCTTTTGTGATCTTGCACAAGTATTGTCGAGTAGATTCTTGCTTCTACTAAGAAGCTATATGGAGGGAAGATTTTGCATTCCTTAGGGTCAGCCTTAAGTTCCTCAGGAAGGCACGATTCTGACCACCATTAATCAAAAGGCAGTAAGTATATTAAACCGAAAAGAAGATTGAATAGCAAGAACACAAGAACTTAATACCAAAACAAGTTGGATGAGAAAAAACATGCACAATCTGAGGCCAACAAATCATTGTCTGGATGTGAAGATACAAATACAGGTACAAAACTCAATGACCCCACATGGTACCCAAATGAGAGAAAATCTAAACAACAAGAGTCAATAAAGCTGGACCTACCATTCAAGACCTTCTGAGAAAGCACATCAAAGTTTGCCTCCTGATTGCAGCTCAGTCTCAATGCTGAACTTTCAATATTCTCTCAAATGATATTAGCTGGTTCTGGAAACCTAAACAATGTTGTACTTAGCCACTCAACCATAAGATGCCAAAGAACCAATGGTAAGAAAAAGGATGCAGCAAAGATAAGAGCAGAGTTTGATCCTGATACGATTTTCCTTTTAAATATTATTCAATAAAGACCTTATTTCACTTTATATAAATTCTTCAATAAAGACCTAAATTCACTTTGCATGATTCTGTACTTTCCTAAAACTGCACTTTTTTTGTCTTTTAGTAATAGCAAATACTTTTTATATTGAAAGCTTACTTTAGCAGGGTGGCCACTCAAATTTGAAAATGAAACTCCATGACTTTTCCATGACTCTTCAAAAACTTTTATTATAAATCACTACAGTAAAATAATCAGTATTTGCCATGCACTAAGCATTTGGAACTTAGTCATTATAAAACATACAAACCAAAAACTAAATGGTAGAAAGTTCTGAATTCATGTCTGAAAAAAACTCTTTTTCTTTTATTTCTCTGATAACTTACACTGCAAAAATATATTTTTCATAAAAGACTTAGACTAGACATACTAATACTTTTCTTTGTATCCTAAAAATATCACAATTAGAAAAAAATAAAGATCATTTTAAAAATTTCATGAATTTTCCATGATTTTCAATAAAAATTTAAGAATTCCATGCCTTTTTCGATGACTTAATAAAATTATTGACATCTCCATGATTTCCATGACTAGTGGCCACCCTGTCTAGAAACAACTTAGTAATGTCACTCTCTAAAATATTTTACTGAATAAGTTTCTAGAATCAGTTAAAAAATTCATTGAATATTTAGAATAAACAATATTATCCACCCAAAGAATTTCAACTTTAATTTTGGATGTATTTATTAGTATTTTATCTATTTTTTTTTAGGTAATTGATTTAAACATTCTGACAAATGCTCAAAAACAGAAATAGGTTGGGATCATTGATTTGAAACTGTTGCTATATGTGTTTTTTACCTATCATAAGTAATTATTATTATTACGAGTCTCACAAGTGTATGTTTTTTTTCTTAATTGATGTTGCTTCATTAAAGCCATTTTACTTAAAAAAATATTAACAGTTTAGAATTTAAAATTTTTCAACCTTCTTATATTTTACACTTTTTATTACATATAAATAAAATAAATATGCAAGCAACATTTAAAAAAAAAATTAAACCGCAACAATGATAATACTTGATTTTAATAAAAACAGTATAACAAAAAATAAAAAACATGCAATAACTAAATATTATTTTTAAAAAATTATAAAAAAAAAGGTGGGATATACTTGAAACAAGCAACAATAAATTGACATATATGCAAATTATTAGGATTTTTCCGGGAGTTTTTAAAATAAAAGAAAAATTTCAGGGCTTTTAAGGACTTTCTGGGACTGGTGGGAACCCTGAAGATATGATTTAAACACTAAAAATTTAAAATAACGTTCTAAGAATATAATTTTCTATGAAGATATTTTTATTTTCCACCAAGATAAGAAAATGTATACAATAATCTAATTTTTAAAAAGTCTCAAAAAAACTCACTGTATCTCAAATATAATCTTCTAAGTGTACAGCAATTAATTTCTAAGTAGAAGCAGAAAATTAACTTAATTATTCTTTTTTATTAACTTTTTGTTTTGCAAACGTCTAAAAAAAACGTTCGATTCCGATATCTTCCGTTGTGAAATGAATGTTGTTTTATATAGATAAGGATAGTTTTTAAAACATTTTTATAAAAATAATAAGATAAACTCGTACTATGCTTTCTCGCCGTCTGATAAAACAACAACTAGCCGTTGTTATTGATTGATTGACGGTTTTCGATAAACGTACTCAAATCGTCGGGAATTGTATACCCGTATGGCATGGATAATTTCGCGTATATGCGCTCCAGATTTTTCACTGGAGAAGAATAAAACTTTTGGTCTCATTTTAGCAAACTGATAATTGTTCATATTTATTAATGTCAACAATAGATATTTGGTGTTAAAGTTAATTACACCCAATTAGAGTCAGGGCCGTCCCGAAGGGGTTTTAATAGGGGGTTGTGGGGGAAGGGGTGACGTATCTGTTTTTGCCGACTTAAGCCAAACAAATTTTTTGCCAACTAACTATTCTTAAAAAAGAAAAAAAAAAGGTTCTCGTTGACCGACATTTGCCAACTGCCAACTTTAGGTTCAATTTTGCCGACTCCAGTGTCCGATTTGCCAACTAACAAAATTCAAAGGGGGGCGAGACACCTTACGCCCCTATGACTATAGTAGTCAATCTTAACAACGTAGATTTGCACTATCTATGATAAAATATCCTAAAATATTAAAGATTTAATTTTTATTTAAAGTTTTTTTTTTTTTTTTAAACTGTTTCCATGCAAAATCATGAAATGATTTTGCATGAAACTGAGATATCTTTCAGCTGAATGAAACTGACACATCTTTCATGAAAATGAAACTGACATATCTTTCAGCGGCGGGTACAAAACTATGTTTGCATAAAAATAAAATTTGTAGTCATAGTTTTTGATTATCTTTAACTTAACTTACTGAGTTTTTGATCGACTAATTGCATTCCACCATTAGGGTGGAATGCAAAAAGCAAACTTGAGTCAAGTTCGACTTGAACTTTATTTTGTAACCAATGGGAGAAAATCCATACTCTGTCGCTATTGGTTATAATGTAAAGTTCAAGTCGAGCTTGACTCAAGTTCGCTTCTTGCATTCCACCCTAAATTTTTAACTTACAGCAGCGGTGATGTAGTGATTAAGTCCATGGTTCGAAGCCGGTTCGAAGCCAGTTCTAGTCTTATATGCACATTTTTAGGTCATTTGACTGAAATAGGTTGGCGGCAATACACCAGCATAAATTAAAAACAAGGCTTTAGTGAGACAATATTAAGCTAAATTTAGCAAATTTGAAAAAAAATGAAAAATAACCATTTAAGGCTACTTACTGGTACAAGACTTGTACAAGACAGCGAATGTCAAATTAACGTTAAATTAACGCTGTACCAACATTGCAATGTTGAGTTAACGTTATTTTAATGTTAGATTGACGTTTTGTTAGATTGACATGCATACATACATACATACATACATACATACATACATACATACATACATACATACATACATACATACATACATACATACATACATACATACATACATACATACATACATACATACATACATACATACATACATACATACATACATACATACATACATACATACGTACATACATACATACATACATACATACATACATGCATGCATTTCCGTTTATCTCGAACTGTTTTAATTTGGTCCCATGAAACCTTCTAACTGGTTACTATTAAAGTTCTCCGGTTAAGTCAAACCTCGGGTAACTGCAACCCTTTTAAGTCGAACCATTTTTTCATCCCTCTCACAGAAATTTTTTTTTGGTTAACTCAAATTTTCCGTAATCAAAATAAATTCAATAAATTTGTTTTACATTTTATTCAATATAAATCATATATAAATATATATATATTTTTTTTTTATTTAGGTGCCCCAAGAAGAACTAACGGTCTTGTCACAGAGCACCGCGGAAATTCATTTAAACAGGAAGTTCACGCCTCCTTCCTTACCGTGACCTGAAAATATGTGCAGAGCTCGTTTTGAACTTAGATCTCCTGCTTATAAAGCAAGCGCTCTAACCACTGCGCCACGGCCGCATATATACAAATATTATAACATTATAACTTATATTGATATACCTCCATGTTATACATATATATATATATATATATATATATATATATATATATATATATATATATATATATATATATATATATATATATATATATATATATATATATAATTTTTACAAGCTGATGATGTTGGTAACCATAATCCAGCGAAAATTTCTAATAATAGATTATTATTTGTATTAAGAGAATTCGTATTAATTGATGTTTTCTGACTAATATAACATATACTCTTATACACAATGTCAACACTAAAGATATATATATATATATATATATATATATATATATATATATATATATATATATATACATATATACATATATATATATAGGGCCGGTGCGAGTAGGTGTCACGTGGTGGGGGGGGGGGGGGTGCCATTACAAAAAAAGGTCCTCGTTTTCCAAAATTTGCCGACTGCCATTACGACATTTGCCGACTGTCTAACCTATATCGAAAGGGTCAACATTTGCCGACTAACTAGTCTAAAAAGGTCCGATTTGCCGACTAAAAATCATTGATGGGGGGGGGGGGGGGTGTCACACCCACAATGATTTTTAGTCGTATTGTATATATATATATATATATATATATATATATATATATATATATATATATATATATATATATATATATATATATATATATATATATATATATATATATATAATACTACATTTGCTTTTTTCTTCTAATCTTGCATAATATCTATTATACAATCATATATCAAGCATGTTATAAAAAGCTTTCAATTTGACATTAAAATGTTTATTTCTTCTAGTTCTTAATATTTTATTTAAATTGAACTTTTGTTTCGTTTGTTAGAAATGTGATTTTTACACCGTCCATTTTCAATTTCTGTAGTAACATCGGTAATATTCATGAGCTGAACTTGACTCATTGCCTTAAGCAACGTCATTTCTGCGCTTATTAAAGCAATAATTTACATCATTTTTTTTGTTGGTTCAAAATTTCTAACTGCAATGCAGTTGGAAAAATAGAACCTTGCCCAAATGTTAAGTTGTCATGACATTAATACTGCAGTATTAATGCGAGTATAAAATGCTGCTATGTTATAATGACTTATTTAAAAAAATATATATATACATTATATTAGATATTAGTTATAATGTTATACAGGACCACCAAAAAGAAAGGGTTACTGATAAACTTTACCTCGGCACACAGATAAAGGGAGAACAAAGACGGATTATTTATACATTTACTTTTATATAAACACAGACAAAATGTAAGCGGTGCTCGGTGATTAGACAGTTTAAGTCTTCTTCTCACTCCGGTCTAAATTTATATTTGTAGTATGTGTTTATTGTAAATTTATCAAGCGGCAAACTTTAAAACAGGCAAATTATCCAACAGTAAAAAAAAAAAAAAAATTGCATAATTTTAAGCAAAAAATTTAAGACAAAATAAAAGGTTTTATTTTCTTTCTGAAACATATTTTCTAAGGTTTTTAAAATTCTATAACATGAAATTAAATTGAAATTTATTTTAAGTTAAATTCAATCATTTGAATTCATTGTTTTGACTTCTTTCTGGTTCAAGGCTCTCCTGTGCGTCAATTAATGTCTGCCTCCTTCTTCGATCAAAAAACATTTCTTTGGATAACGAGACAAAGTTTTTAAAGACTCTAATCAAAGATTTTGACTAACTACGTTCTTGTTGGCCCGAAGTCATCCAAAAAGCTAAACTGGTTGTATCTGGGTTAGCTTTGTTTAGGTTTCAAAATGATTTTGTTAAGAAGAGGACAAGGAAAAGGAAAACACTTCACGTCGAATCGATAAAAACATAGTCCACTTCCACGAAAACGAATCAAAGGGTTTTGAGGTGAACGTATTTAATGTTGCTCTTGACACGCTACTCCAGCAGATAAGATAGAAAAGGATACAGTTCAAAAGACGACTAACATGTTTCGTTCATATGGTGTTCTCCATCTCCTTCTAGTGATAAAGAAAAACTCAGAAAGAAAAATGCAAATTCTTGGCGAATCTCTACGTAAATGATGAAAAAGAAGAAAAGTTGATAGAAGAAACCCGTCATTTTTTTTTTTTTTTTTTTTATATATAAACTTTTACTTTGCTAATTAAACAGTTACAATTACAATTTTCAAATAATCATGTAAAAAATACATAGCGGCGTAAACATAAACATGATAAACGTTTTTTATAATTTTTTATATTTTTTTATTTTATAATATGTATTTACTGTTCTTATCAGTCAGGGACTCAAAGAAGGTAAGGATGATGTGTTTAACATCACAACGTTTTCATAGAGCCCCTATAGTCACTCATTATAAAAACACTTTAATTTTTAAAAATAAAATAAAAATTCAATAAAAACAATGCTCATATTTTTTAGTGTAACAGATTAAAAAACAAAAAGTATTATAAACAACAAAAATAAGAAGAAAAAATAAATAAATAAATAAAATAATCTAGATGCTCTGAGGCGATCAAATACTTTTAGACAAATAGAATCTCTTTTTTCTATCAAGTTGCTTAACAAAACACCTAACAGAAAGGTCTTTAGTCAATATTTCTTTCAATCTGCATTTTGATTCGCTTTTTAATACAATTCCGGTTTAAGTGGCTGAAGGAGAGCGCTCTTATAGTAATCTTGCTCTCATCATGACTGAAGAACGCCATAGTAACCTTATGGTGATTTCAATTAAAACGACCTTGCCAAGACTTTATCGTACAAAAATCTCATCTCTAGTTTTGCAAAGAAGAAAGCTCAAAAAGTGAAATTAGTGTAATCTGACTAGTCTTCATAATTAAAACTTTATTGATGAAATATATAATTCTTTTCATTTTAAATTGTATTTAATTTTCGTTTTATCATATATAATTAAGTTCAAATATAAAGTGTTTATGCTCAGCAATAGTTAATACAAAAATAATTATTGTTTTCATTAAATTGTAATGCGATAATAGACATACGAACGATAAGCAGTAAAATTTATCTTAACTCAATATACCCAGGAATCCAAAGTTTGGAGCACCGAAAAAATTTTTCT